CCTTCGTCCAGTTTGTTGTTGCTTCTCTACTTTAAGGGGGGCTGGGGAGGGAAATTACTTTCTTTGGGTCATTACTTTTGAAGGGTTGGTACTTTCAGGTCATGAAAAAAACTCGCAGTTCTACGTATCATTTAACTTTCAGCATTTTGCTACTTCTGGAACATTACTATACTTAAGCCAGCCAGCAAACAGGCTCCCGGCAAGGAAAGAAAAAAAATTGGCAAGCAAAGCGAGTGGACAAGCGTGAAACTTAAGAATTCAGAGAGTGAAGCAATCAGGGTGGGATGGGGGAGCCTGCAGACTTTGTTTTCGATGTGCCTATCGGCCCTTGGTAATTAGCCTGTAACAAATCAGTCAATGAGGTAATTAGACCCGTCAAGAAGCTACATTTTCTGCACTTGCAAACAGTTCTAATCAACCCAATCAAACAGCCAGGTCCATGAGTGTATGGAGTGCTAGTATTAGCAACATGTTCATGGCATATTTCAAAGTTTGTCCCTCCAGAGCCAATACTTTGAGAGCTTCAAACATATTTTGCAATATTGAAATGAGCCTAAAGAAATTTAATAATAAGCACATGGCAAATGATAGAGGTGTCAAACTCTGCGAGGCGACGCACAAATAACAGCGGAAAGTCTGGTAACCATGCCTTTGACCTCTAAAAGGAATAATTTGCTATAGCACAGCCAAACGGCTCCACTCTACTTAAAATTCTTCCACATAACACAGCATAAAGTACCCTTTAGAGTGAAATTAAATAATGAAAGGTCGAGGGACCAAATATTAAAAGAGAATGAAAAATGCACAAATGTCATGAACCATAGGAGTCGTGTACGGCGGTCAACCACATTTTACAAAGATCTGTCAAATAGTTATCTCAAAGATGTCAACAGTCAGCAATTTGACCAACCACATCATGATACCAGATCCTGGTATGATGGAACGAGGGCATCAATAGAATGTCTAAAGGCTCACTTGCTTCATTTGGGCTCACCGGGAGCCTGTTCGCAGGCTATGTACTAGCTGACTCATGAATACAACAGAGGTGAAAATAACAAAGAAAACTTGATCATTACTTACTCGGTACGCAGCTTTCTTTGAAATATTTTCCTGCTGCTACGTAGGGATTACAGCTAGAATCATACTTCATGTATTTCATGGAGAGAAGAGTTCCAACTGGCACATTCCAACCTGCTGTTTTTCCAGCTCCAGTGTGGCATGTCTTCTTGCCTTCCAGCTTGTCAAACTGAATCTCATCGTTGTTCTTCTTTACAACTGCTACAGCATAGTAGCTCAATGTGCCATAACCATAATCTTCACCGACCACAGGAACCATTCCAAACTCTTTACCTGAAAGATAATGTTACATATGAGGCTACTCCCCTTCAATGCAAATATTTGGCTTGTTACTAGTAAGAACAATAGCATTGCATGACCTCACATGACAATCCATCTTTAAACAATGACAATGTAATACTCATGGTTATGGCTCTGTCAATTCCAAGCCCCTTTGTTCCTAGCCCCCGCCAAACAAGTAACTGAGCTGAACAAGTAACTGAGAACTGAAAACATTAAAACCTGATGTACCACAGGTAAACAAAGCATACTATATGAGTATTTGAGTATTTATGAAGCTCTAAAGAAATTTAATGATAGATTTTACTATGGACAGAAAAATCTTTTTTTTTTGACCAAATTTCACATTTAGCAGTAATCAGGGATTTGTAGGTGTGTTCAAATGTTTGTCACTGGAATTACAGTTGCCTAACCATAGCACATGCCATGTTCAGGTTCTGGTAGCTCTAATAACTGGCTTTTGTTTGCTTCAGGTGTAGTAAAGAACTCTTTGATCAAGCTTTGTTGTTTTACACCTAGCACAAACTTTCCAAAAAAAAAACATTGCAATAACGTCAAAAAAGGATAGAGATTGCACCTACCGAGTGAGAAATTACTCACTCACAGCGAGTTTATTCAGTTTGTGTTTGTTACTGCAATAGGTTAGATTAAACTGATTTACACTCTTATCATTCTCTTTGATCAACTGGGTTTGTACATTACAGGATCAACTTTCCCAGGTAAAACCCCCAATGAGATAAGCCAATGTTTGGGTAGCACCTGCATAGTGCATGACTTGCTAATACATTTGTAACTGAGCTTTCCCTAGGTGGTGTATTGATGTACAAATACTGATGAAACAAACACTCACCAAATTACTACTGCAAAAGAAAGTGCAAAGCAAAACATCTCTTGGTTGAGTATTCTTTTTCTTGCAAACTCACTCATCATAACTGAGCTGTATTAAAGTTTTCCCCTTGAATTCCCTGGCAATATATTTTTATCAATGAAAGTAAAATTATACTGCATACATGTTGCACATGATGCAGGCGCAGATCTAGGAAAAATGTTGACCGATTTACTGCAAAACGAGCGCCAAAGGCGCAAGGTCCAAGGGGGATCTGGGGGCATGCCCCCCCAGGAAATTTTTTCCATTTTAACTACCTTAAGTACCCATTCCTGGCTTTTTGAGTCAGTCAGACAATATATTTGCCAGTTCCATTCTCCTTGGATGAAGTTTTGCGGCAATGATGTGATGGCGTGACTGCCATCGGGAGACTAGTGATTTCCCGGCTGTAAAATTTTGCCGCCAGAACGTGTCTATGACCCTTGTCTATTTCCAGTAATTGGCAAAAAAGAATAAATAGAAAATAAATGTCAAAACTATTTTAAAGATTCAACTGCAGTTTACTTTTATTAAAAATATATACATATCTATTGATTTTTTTTTATTACGAAAATTCTGACCGATTTCCGTAAAACAGTGGAAACCGGTATGGATATGCATCTGTGATGGGTGGTTGCAACACCTAGTGTACATGTACCTACAATTAACACCTGACAAAATTTTTTACTCCTGTTTCAAACAGCTACTGAGTTTTACCTGCTTTATATACATCTCCACCATCCAGGGTAATCAAATCTGCCTCTCCCTTTTCGATTTTTTTCATGCATTCAACAGCATTTTCGGCCTTCACACATCCAGGTCTCGTAGTATTATCTATTTTCATCAACACAGCTTTAAAGTCATCGCATTTGGATTGTTCTTGATCCGATGTTGTGCACCATCTCATTTGAAAAGTGTGCCCGTGCCCATGCCCATGCCCTAACAGTAAACAAACAAACAATCAAAACATTATTAACATTAATATTTTTATATGGTGATTGCTAATACGAATAAATTCTCAAATAAATGATGCAGAGGAAGTGAATGGGCAAGAGATAGGGGACGTTGACAAATTTGTGTATCTGGGAGCTACAATTTCCAAGGAAGGTGGAGGCACACAAGACATCCACAATAGAGAGGTCAAAGCCAGAGGGGTATTTATGAGCTTGAGGATGACCTGGAGCAGTGCAGTGAAACCTGTATTAAGCGGACACCCTTGGGAAATCCACTAGTGTCCACGTAATATAGAGCATCTGCTCTAAACAGGTTCAGCAATAACAGTTAAACATTAACCCTTTTGTAACACAGTGTAACACAGTGTAGATCTCAGACTGCTCATAGCACAACGTCCAGTCAGTCAATGCATCAATCTGTAATTATCTACTTAGCTTTAAAACCACATTGCTGAGCAATGTTAAAGGAGTCTGAGCTGAGCTTTTAGAAGTAAAAAGACCTTGAAGTGTCTGCTTATTGCAGGTTCTGTGCAATAAAATGGCTTAATATTGGTGTCCGTGTCCACTTAACAGAGGTGTCTGCTGAATGCAGGTTTATTTTACAGTAAATGTGGGAAGAAAATATAGGGACTCAAGCTGGTGTCTGCTTAATAGAGGGTGTCCACTTAATATGGGGTCTGCTTAATACAGATCTTCACTGTAAACCAAAATCAGGCTATACAAGACTGTGGTTAAACCATTCTTGAAGTATGGTTGCGAGACATGGAAGATGAACAAAAGTGACAAAAATAAGATCGTCGTCTTCCAAAACAGATGTGCCCTAAAGACGAATACTTAAGATATGCTGGCAGGACAGAATCACAACCAAAGTCAACAAAGTAATGGAGATGGCTGAGATGGAAAACTTCAGTGAGGATGTCAGAAGAAGAAGAAGAATGGGAGGTTCATTGGACAAATTACGAGGAAAGGATAGGGCAATAACTGTAGGACTGCACAATGATGTGGGCACCAGAAGGGTGCTGCAGGCGGGGTGGACCAAGGACAACATGGACAAGAACATCAGAGAAAGAGACAGAAAGANATAAGCTTTAATTTGATATAGGGGTTTAGGTATCTACAGCTTAAACCGGACGCGCTACATCGCTTGGACGTGAGACACCCCTGAAGGTATATGGTAACCTTAAGCGGACACCCTTGGGAAATTCACTAGTGTCCGCGTAGTATAGAGCATCTGCTCTAAACAGGTTCAGCAATAATAGTTAATCATTAACCCTTTTGTAACACAGTGTAACACAGAGTAGATCTCAGACTGCTCATAGCGCAACGTCCAGTCAGTCAATGCATCAATCTGTAATTATCTACTTAGCTTTAAAACCGCATTGCTGAGCAATGTTAAAGGAGTCTGAGCTGAGCTTTTAGAAGTAAAAAGCCCTTGAAGTGTCTGCTTATTGCAGGTTCTGTGCAATAAAATGGCTTAATATTGGTGTCCGTGTCCACTTAACAGAGGTGTCTGCTGAATGCAGGTTTATTTTACAGTAAATGTGGGAAGAAAATATAGGGACTCAAGCTGGTGTCTGCTTAATAGAGGGTGTCCACTTAATATGGGGTCTGCTTAATACAGATCTTCACTGTAAACCAAAATCAGGCTATACAAGACTGTGGTTAAACCATTCTTGAAGTATGGTTGCGAGACATGGAAGATGAACAAAAGTGACAAAAATAAGATCGTCGTCTTCCAAAACAGATGTGCCCTAAAGACGAATACTTAAGATATGCTGGCAGGACAGAATCACAACCAAAGTCAACAAAGTAATGGAGATGGCTGAGATGGAAAACTTCAGTGAGGATGTCAGAAGAAGAAGAAGAATGGGAGGTTCATTGGACAAATTACGAGGAAAGGATAGGGCAATAACTGTAGGACTGCACAATGATGTGGGCACCAGAAGGGTGCTGCAGGCGGGGTGGACCAAGGACAACATGGAC